AATTGGAATACTCCAGTTCTTTGGCAGCATTTTAATGAGGACTGGTTGGATCTGATTATTCGGACATATTTTTAGATCCCTGCAAAAAAGACTATTTTTATTGGACCCTTGGTAAGAAAGAGAAATTTACTCTGAATTTGACCATCCAGAAGCTTGTGGAAGATAGAAATTTATCTCTCAGTCATGCTATAAAGGCACTTTTTAGAAAGGTTTGGAATCTTCCCATTCTGCCCATATATATGCTTTTCCTTTGAAGGGTTTTGCGAGGTTTTGTTATCTCTACTGAAATTATGGCCCATAGAGGTTTTGCCTTATTATATTTGGAGGTTAAAAAATGATTCTATCTTTAGAGGAAAAAACCATACGGCTCAAAAAGATTTTTCTTATACCCAAAGTGCAATGAATGATGCCTCTAATGTTGTTGATTTGCATGAGCATAATGTTGAGTGTTCTGGAAAAACACACTTTTTCCCCTCCTTGGAGTACTTTAAGTAATTCTGTTGATTATATATTTCTTTGTGATCGAAGTGTTTGAAGGAATGGACAAGGGTTCTATGTCCTATGCCTTTGTCTAACTAACTCTAGGGATTTTCTGACTGATGTAGGGGGAAATCTCATGTAAATGGCTCGACTCTGGAGATGGAGTTGTGTGTGATTCAGGCTGCTCTCCTTTTTGCTTTTGGAAAACATCTTCAAAATACCTCTATTTTATCTGATAGCTTGAATGTTGTAAATGTTTTGAATTCTGGGGAAGTTGGTATTACCCCGAATTTGTGGCACTTGGTGGACCACATTAAGTTTTTGTCTATAAATATTTCTATGACTTTTATCTACATTCCTATAGAAAGGAATGCTATAGCCCATGAATCAACTACAAGGGCCTAGACTTTTGATAGGGAGGTTGTGTGGACTGATTTACCTCCCCCCATTTTGAGAACTTTGCATGTTGATTTTTTGAAGGAATGGTAACTCTATCTATTATAAAAAAAAAAAAAAACAAACAAACTAGTGCCTAACAACGACTCCAATCATAGGAAGAATATAAAATCTCTTCACACACACACACACATATATATATATATATAAATTCACTCCCACAAGAAATATCATATTGGCCCCCCAAGTGTACATCTCAATGTACGTTGGGAACATCTCTCTCCGTGGGGAGATGTTTCAAATACATGGTTTGAATGGATTGTGAGGTGCATGTTGTTAGACAGTATTGCCCTTAGTTCCAATCAAGATTGATGTACAGATATATTTATTGTGAATAAATAAAAGTACATAATTGTTCCATATTATCATTGGTGTGCTTCTGTGTAATTACCCCTTAAATTAGACACTTATGAGACTCGTGTTAGTTTAGGATATTCTCAGCTGTTGGATAGACTTGGGGTGTTTATCCTACCAAGGTTGACACTAATGTGTTGCCAAAGAGGTTGGGGCAGCCTGTCTCGGGTTCTAGGGTTAGACCCGAAGCACATGTAGTGAGTTCTTGTTTGAAGCACTAAACCCGGGCCAATTTTCAATTATGCCCTGGACCTTGGAGACTAATGGGAAAAACTAGAAAATTACACATAACCCCTAAACTTGATTATGGTACTGCACTGAGTGTTAGATCGGGTTGTCTTTGATGTGCCAATCAGTGAGATCCTTTGGGGGTCAAAACCTTGGTATGCTGGGGCAATCTGAGAATTCACTTTAGTGGGTGATCATAGTGATAGGATCAAACCCTTTGTCAAACAAAGTGAATGATCGAAATTGCACTATCTCTGATGGAAACCTAAACTGTCGGTAGTCAATTTCAACCATGTTTGAGTTTTGTTTTGTAAAATATATTCATATGATATTTATATATTATATTTTAAGAAAAGTGTTTGCAAAATGTTTTAATTCCCGGGACCCATCTGAGTAGAGAGTGCAACACTGCACCTTGCAGTCAGAGGAGAGGTCCTTCTTTGTCGGGCAGTGTTTGATCATTGTGGGCTGAGAGGTTAAGTGCAAGAGACCATTAAGGGTTGTTTGCCTGATGGGGGCTATATCTTGCTTAAGTCCATTATCCTTGGACCTTCATAGGATGGCTGGACTCAATGATCATTTAACTGTAAATGTTGGAACCATTAAGAACCCATATTGATGGATTCAGGGGTTTACTGCATTTGGAAGTGAACTCGGCCAAGCCATTTTATTAAGGTTGGGCCGAACCCATGTGGGATTATGTGAGGTCATTGTTGGGGTCACACGCCATACAAATTGAACCTAAATGGGCCAATAACTTTCTTGGGACATGAGCCACTTGTTTAATGGGCCTAAAGCCCATGATTAATAAGATTAATCAAGCTGTCACATGACTGCTTAAGAGGATATGACCTATCTTAATATAGAGTCCATATCCAAATAAAGATTTAGATTACAAACCTCCTAATTTGATTAGGAGTGGTTCTCTTTTAAGGCTTATAAAAGGGAGGGGGCAAACTGCTCTAGATCCCAACTTCTGCTCTCACTTCTCTCTCTGCTCCTACCGCCCAGAAACCCTAGTTCAATCTCTAGTTTCTTGGACTGATCTTGATTAGTTCCACCTCTAATTTTTGCAAGAAAAATCAAAGAAATTTTGTGCTCACTTGCCTTGCTCGATCCATCCAATTGGATTGCAGTTTTGCTGAAAACTACGTTGCTGAACTGACTCCATTCAAAGCTATGCCAACTTCAGCGGAAATTGGTTTTGGGATTCAATTTGGGCGTGAACTACCACTTTGGGGGCTACATCTGTGGATTCCGTATCAGGCATACTTCTCTCTTCTTTTTGGTTTCAAATCTGATCCAGTTTCGGTGCAAGAACGATCATTGAAAAATGCAAATTTTCTAAAACTAGGAATTCAATTCTCGGAAAGCATAAGAAAATTTTTGAAATTTCGCCCAGCCATCCAGCATGGTTTGGCCATCCATATGATGGATTACACCTTCCTTCATTGGTATCAGAGCCAAATGTTCAATCTTGAACCGAAAAAGATCATATCTGAACCAAGGTTCAAATCGGCAAAACTAGTCTAGACGAATTTGAGGAGTTTGTAGTTTTCTGAGAATTCGGTTCTCAATTTTGGGCGAATTGATCTGAAATTTTTAGGATTATATTCTGATATAATTTAGAACTGTTCTATTGTGATTTCTTTGGTTTTGGGGTTGTTTGTGTGATGGAGATCAAATTCTTTTATGGTGCCAAGATCTACACACTCGAGAAAATTATTATTTGATTATTGGTCTGTAATATTTTTTATTTTTAGAAAATTGTATTAGGTTTTTTCTGATGTAAGTAATAGAAAATTAGGGTTTTTCTATTTTTTTTTTTTTTTTACATTGGAAGACCTGCTGGAGTGCATGGAGGAGAAGAAGAAAGATTTTGCAGAAAAACTGCAATCTGTAATTAACAGTTTTTTGTAGGTTTGCAGTTCGTCCGGATCAGATTCGGACCATCACACTTGCAGCCCTAGCTTATTAGTCTAGCGATAGTTCGTTGGCTGCCGGTAAATTTTCTAGTGGCAGTTTTAGAGACCTTTAGCGACAGTTATGACTGCCACTAAAAATCATTTTTGCCAAATCATATCTAAGCTGGCGGTCATAGAAACCACCACCTTTGACAACACATATCTAAGCTTACGGTTTATAATGCGTCTATGCCGGTGGTCCTAACCACCACCTTTGGTGAAATAAGGCATTTATGGTGACGGTTTAACTAGATGACAATTCAGTCTAAGCTGGCAGTTAAAATGGCCAGATTTGATTACATAATTTAACTAAGGTGGCAGTTTATTAAAATGACAAAATAATCTAAGCTGGCGGTTTGGACCACCGGCTCAATAAATATGCCGGCAATCAGACTGTTGTCTAACTACCCTATCCCGACGGTTTGGACCGCCGCCACGCATTATATGGGCCGACAGTTCTCTAAATACTGCCAGCGGATGAATGGTTGGACCGGGTCCCTACAACGGCGGTCATTGTCTTCTAGGCCGGCATCCATGACCTAGGGTGATGCAACTAAAGATGGAGGCCACCTAATCGCCGGCTAATGTCTAAGGCGGCGGTTTTAAAGGCTAAGCCGGCGGTTCAGCTAGCGTCGGCTTAGCTTGTTTTTCTTGTAGTGCATGGATTTTTTTTTTTTTTTTTATCTGAGAGTATGGCCCTTTGAATCACACGATATGCAAAAACTGTGTGCCTCAATACTTTGAACCTTGCTTAGGAGATGTGAATTCCAAGGATTAGGGATGAAATCTGACTCATGGATATAGTGGGGTACTAATAAAAAGATCACACAAGGCCTCTTGGTCAACAACGATCTCATGGTCCCATAGAAGATCCCCGAGATGGTTTACTTCATTAAACATTAGTAATACTCAATGATATTGTGTCCTAGTTTTTGACTGCATGCACATCTTGTAACCATCAAATATCAATCATGCTCATTGAAGAAGACACAGTCTATCAAAAGTATTTGCTTGACAATTGAAAACTTATCAGGGACAAAACTCAAATTAAAGCTGAAATACAAAGTCTATGTTGTCTCTAAGTAAGCTGCATCCAGAAGATGACAACATATTTCTTCCACGAGAATACCCCGTGGAGAATGGAGTGCTATTTTACACATGATGTCCTTTGTTTATCTGGAAAACATTGTATCCAATAACAGATAAAGAAACTGTTAACACTACCTCAACAACTCCAAAATTAGTTAGTTCTTCTCAACTTTGTTTTATGCCAATTCAAGAGAACCAGGTCTCAGGAAAAAGCTGACTTCAGAGTTCAGCCTTCAAATTTCAACATTTCTTCATAAATACCAACTTTGAAACTCCATTTCTGGGTGTAAATGAAAAAATCAATTTGCAGAAGTTGAGATATCCCATGCTCATGTTTCTCTGCAGATGCATATTTTACTTGCAACCGGTTTTAACTTAACCCCAGATATTGTAGTTTTTACCAAGCATGTAGGTGCTATTTCTCTGCTTTCAAACCTGTTCTGGATCAGGGTTTTCACTATGTTCATTCACAGAGATCTCCAGTCTAGTCCATTTTCTACGCAATGTAATCACTAAAAGGGTGCTGGCCTGGCAGAAGAGGCCACAAATCAGACCAAGCCACAATCCCTGCACCAAAACATGCTGACTTTATTAGGTATTTTCCCTTTTCAAGATTATTATAAATTTTAAACTTGGAGACTTGGAGTTATATATGGTAATATCAGGGTTCTGAAATATTATTTATTTGATTGGTCACATTAAAGATATTTATTTGAAGAATTAGTCCAAAATAACAGACCCATTTGACAGGTAAGTTCAGATTTGCAAATTGAATTCAATAGGTAGATCACCTTAGCATATAATCCAAACTTAAAGCCAAGGAGGATAGATATTGGCATGCCAATAATGTAGAAGGCTGCCAAGTTGGTCCATGCAGCCAAGTGCTGCCAACCACATCCTCTGCACACACCTGTGAAATTAAGAAAGCCTGCATCAATTGAAGTAAATGACTGAAAACAATTCATCATTGTAGAAACTACGGATGTCACTGACCTGATAACACACCCTGTGACGAATCAAGAAACATAGAGATGGCAAGAAGTGGAGTCATGGATGCAAATCCACTCTTTATTACAAGACTATCACTGAAGAGACCAGCCCATATATTATGGCCAAGAAACAGGGCTATAACAACTATAAGAGCTACTACAATGGAAAGTTTGAGAGTCACTGTCACAGCATTCTTAGCTCTATCCACGTTTGTTGCTCCCAATTCATTAGACACCCTTGTGCTGCAAGAGAATGCCCGTTTAATTATCTGGATAAAACTGGTAGAAACATTTCATCTAACAGAAAGCTCAGTTTACATCAAACACTTCTCCAAGCATACCTTACGGCAGCACTGAAACCATAGATAATATTGAATATCACAGCCTCTGTGTTCACGCTACATTGATAACATAGATTAGATAATTCCCAAATAGATTAACGCTAAAACATTTACACTGCGTAAATTCAAAACATGTAGAAAGTACAAGAGGAGAGTGAAGAAACTATACCATATTGCTATCAAAGATGTAGTTTTCTCTGAGTTAGGCATCAATCCAGCCAGTATCACAAGAATCTCAAAAGCCCAAAACTCCAGACTGATATTAGAGAAAAATAAAATAAAGAAAAGGACAATCTATCAGACCAAATTAAGCCTGAATATAGAGAAAATAGAATACCATGAATTAGAGGCTAACTTACCATACCATGATTGACGAGGGGATGGCCAATTTCATGCTTGGTAGTACGTAGTGGAAGGATTCCATGGATAGACCTTCCCATGTATGCTTGAATTTGTTAGCATAGTTGACATAGAAGGCCAGCATTAGCAACGATATCCACAATGATATAGCGGCTGATAATGGTACTCCCCTGAAACCCAGAGGAGTTAGGTGAACCAGTACATATGCAAGGCCGACATGGATGAACAATGGGACCAGGGAGCACACAACAAGTGGTGTAACGACATACTGTGTCTGAAAAAATCTGATAACGCATTGCAGGAAGCCGAATGAGAAGAGACCAGGGATCAGATACTTCATGTAGAGACCAGCCATTTGGGCTATTTGGTGCTCTTGATGAAGAAAAACCAGTATGGGTTTTGAATAGAACCAGACAAAACTTACAAGGACACTGAAGATGAAAGAGATGATGATTGAAGATTGTAAATATACGCCTAACATCCTGTATAACCTGGCACCATATCTTTGACCACAAAGTGTTTCAAGCGCACCACCTAGACCAGTCTGAAGAAAAACAGGATGAAACAAGGAATAAATTGTAGCATAGAACCATGAAAAGTAAAAGTTGGAAAAATACATAATGAAAATTTCTCACAAAAAGATGAAATATTATTGTTTCCATTCATCACCATCATCACATAAATCCGGATATAGCTTCTATTCTGTTATTATCACGAGTTAAATTCCTCTCTTATCATAATTTAAGTTATTCGGTTTATTTATTAAAGCAGTTTGTTTCTGTCCTATGATAAAAATGGTAGACAAGAGACTTTCAAGGCATGGCTTTCTGCCACCTCTCCCTTTTTCTCTCTGTTGGAGTACTCTATGGATGGACACAACTGATCGATTAGAATTTTCAGATGGATTGGAGCTGTCTACTACAGGTAGTAATTGGCAAGATTGAGAGACAATTGTCTTTCTAGGCATCCATTTTGGAGGACTTAAAGGCTATGTTTAGTCTGATAGAAAATAAGAGAGAAAAACAAAGTTGAGGGAAAGTTTTTAAGGATTTTCACAAATTCCTTACTTTCATTGCACCTGCAGGTTGCAGGTAATCTCTTAAAAAATTAGAGAAATTTATAGTTTGACCCCCCCCCCCCTCATAAATTTTTATTGGTTTTTTGGTTTTATTTTCCCAAACCCCATCCCACCCCATACTTTAATACATTTCCCCACTGTTTCCAAATGTACAAACCTAAAAATTATTATTAATTTGTGATAGGATGGGATGACTGATTAATCAATGATGTGAAGTCAAACAGATCAGAAAGCAATTTATTTGCAATAGCAAACTCATTAGAACATTTAAAAAAATAAAAAGAAAAGGAGGAAAAAAAACACATGATAGATTATCTCTCAACTATTAATCTCGTTTTGCTTTAATTTATGATCCACATAAGAGCAATTTTCTGCCACCAGATAAAGAAGAAGAAGAAGTGATGAGAGTTGCTGACCATGAGAGCAAAACCAGTGACAAAGGCCCAAGAGTTAGCGAGGGTGGCGCCTGCAAGCTCAAGCTCACCCAGGTGACCAGCAAACATGATAGAGATGAGAGGGATGGCGTAATAAGAGACGTTGGTAATGATCATGGGAAAGGACAACAGAAGCTGTTTCTTGGCCTCCTCCATGTCTAGCACCTTCATCCTTCTCTCCTATTCCCACCTTCATTCTCCAAAAACGTTTCTGTTGCACAATTAGAATTATTAGGGAGTTAGTCAGAGTTAGTTGTGGTTTGTTATTTGTACAGCTGGAAGTTTTACCTCACCAAGGATCATGGCAAGACCAATAGTACTGTGGACGAAATCTTAGTACCTTTTAGATGTGCATTACCCAACATTTAAGCAAATAGAGATAGAGCGCTAGGCTTCAAATAACAGAGACCTGAGATCAACTCCCTCTGTCGCCACGGTTGGGGGTGCAGGGGATTGGAGATGGCTACCCTCTTGTTGTGTAGCCCCAAAAAGAAGTGTTTCAAATAAACCCTCGCAGCTTTGGATTGGACCCATCAAGTAAGATATATTGAATTGGACCAGTCCAGATTTAATGGTCCAGATTGGACCTCATTTATAATGAATTTATATTGGATTGGTCGGATTGAACCAATATCCGGTCCATTGATTAGGTGTCAATGAATCAAGTTTGAGTTGAAACCAATTCAAATTAAAACCAATTTGAACAGATTGAATGATCCAAACATTAACTTAGATTGGTCCAAAATGGTTTAAAGTATTCATCGGATTGGGCCAAATCTGATCCAATTGACACCCTTACTCCCGGGTGCAGATGTAGGACCAATATGATCAAAGCATGAGTATGGACGTAAGAATAGGTTAGAAAGGGTTTAAGAGTATTAGTACTAAAGAGGATATTGATTGGGGTAACAGAGGGCTTAACTGCAAGAATTGCATACTTACTCCAAATGAAGAAAATCTTCAAATAAAGAAAATAATCCTAGGATTGGAATTTTTCAATCAAATTTTGTGTAGGGTTTGAATGGATAGCTGTACAAAGCGACAAAGTTTGGTAGGGTTTAGAGTACATCTTGCACAAAAAGACCAAAATTCAGGTTTACGAAGAAACTCAAGAAGTATAGGATTTAGATTTAGATTTATTGTTGTGGAAAAATCCAAGAAAACAGATTTGAATAGCATTCAAATAAAAGTAAAACAGAGATAAAAAGAAGTAAGCACAGAAAACACACATATTTACGTGGTTTGGCTTATAGTTCATGTCCACGCAGAAATCCACTATATAGTCAGCAATGGAGAAAAAATACAGAGTTGTGTACTCACAACACCATTCACTGAAAACCCTAAACCCCAAAGTACACTCAATGTCTTTCTATTCTCTCACAAGACAAAGACTAAATATACAAGAGAAATAACCCCAAAAATACATAATTCTTCGTATTCGGTTCAGACCTATAAGCTGAATATGAATCAGACCTTCTACTATAAATCACTATAAAATTTTGCTTTCGGGTTTTTCTCAAATTATTTCAAAGCGGATTCATGAAGCAGAACGCCACAAAGAATTCAAGGCACGAACATAATATTCATTAATCCAATGTCCATATGTGATATGTATGAATTACAGTACCATGAATGTATAAGAATAGTACTGTACATGTAAAAACATAATGAAATACAAATTCCATAATCCTCAACCAAACCCTCAAGTATTTCCTAGCAGTGGTTCCAATCACATTTGTTGCCTTTATTCTATCTCTAAATTATGTATTCAATATGATTATTTTCAGTTGGTTATCCATCCAATAATCTTTTTCATAAATTTTAGAGGTTGCATGACGATTAAGGTATTAAACAAAATTAATATTTAAAGTCAATGAAAAATATTTTCTAGGCCAAAAATAAAAGACGCTAATGATCTGTTTTTATAGCAATGCAAATCTGAACTGTAAATTAATCTTGCACCCAGTTCAATTTTGTATTCACTTGTTTGTAATTATGATTGGCACTCTTTAATATAAAATTTGTACTTTTTGCTCAATTGCACTCATTGGTAATTACACCACCTTTTACCCCACCTCAATTCTCTCTCATATAAAATGCAGACTACATCATCTTGCTTCCTACCTCATTCCTAAATAAATAATCCTCCTATTACTTCTATTCTCATTCTCATGCATATAAGGTGGGGATTATGTCGCTTTGCTCCCTATTTTATTACTCACAAACAAATAAGACAAAATCATATCTGAAGCAAAACTGCACCAGAATTTGCACTCAGCTTATTTTCATTTTCATGCATTTATTTTAATGCAAATGCAATTTGCACTGCAACCAAACTGAATCTAAATTCGAGCCAAAAATTCCCCTGTAAATGTGGAATATTCTTGGTGCCTTCCTATATCACGCTTGTAATTACACCAGATCTCGGTTTCCTCTATCTCCATTTATTGCAAGTTCTACGCTGGTCCATTCTGTGCGCATTGTAATTACTAGGAGGGTGCTAGCTTGACAAAAGAGAGCACATGTTAGACCAATCCACAATCCCTGCACCAAACAAGCAGAATTAATTAGGTATTTTGTTTTGTTTGTTCAAACTTATCAAACATGACAATAGTTTATGTAAATGATTTGGCCACCTTAGTATACAATTTTAACTTAAAGCTGGGGAGAACAGCTATCGGCATTCCAATAATATAGAAGGCTGTCAGGTTGGTCCATGCACCCAAGTGCTGCCAACCACATCCTCTGGACACTCCTACCAAATTGAGAAGGCTTGCATCAGTTGAACAGAGAAATGAAAACAATCCAACATTGTTGAAACTAGGGGTGATCATTTTCAGCTCAGAAACTTCTGGACTTGGTCTTAGGTTTTGTATTCAGGCTCGACTTATAATATATTATTTGTATATTAAATATGTCTCTATACATATATTATATATCATGGTTTTAAAAAATGACTTGGAAATGGAATCATTCTGATTATCGGTTTTCGTGTCGATGATCCGACCGTCTGTTTCGAATGGACAGTCTATTCTAACAATAAAATTTTAAAAATAATTAAAAATAAAAAACAGTCAAAAACCGTTGAACGGATCAATGGTTCGACCGTCCAAATCAATAGATCATTGACCGATTCAACGGTTTTTGGCCAAGAACCGGGTTTAAAGTAAAACGGAACTGATTGTCTGGACAGTTCCCAGGCTGAACGGTCCGATCATCCAGATCAACGGCGATTTGAAAACCATGTTATATATCGTATAACATAAATATTACATATACTTTTTAAAATTTTGACTTAGCCCACAAACAGCTCGGGCCCAAGTTATAGGCCCTTAACATAGGTGCTAAGCCCGGCCCAGTTGACGAGCACCCCTACTAAAACCTATGGGTTCCACTCACCTGATAAAACACCTTGCGCTGAATCAAACAATATGGAGATGGAAAGAAAGGGAGTCATGGAAGCAAATTCTCTATTTATGACATGATTGTTGCTGAAGAAAGCAGCCCAGATGTTGTGGCCAAGGGCTAGCACTACAATAACTGTAAGAGCAAGAATGACAGAAAGCTAAAGAGTCACTGCTACAGCATTCTTTGCTCGGTCTATATTCGATGCTCCCAATTCATTTGACACCCTTGTGCTGCCACAAAAGTCACTTCAATTGCATCATGTAGGTAAAGCTAAGAAAAAAGATTTTTTTTTTGTATTTTTTTTATCTTAGGCTTTATGTTGTTTGTAGTGCAATTTGCACCATTTCTGTTTTGGATCTATTTGTTTGTGACTATGTTTTGTACCTTTATGTATGCAAAATTTGTACTTTTGTCTCATTTGCATGCATAGCAATACAAACTTTGCATCTAAAAACTGATGCAAAATTTGCACCACCTTCCTCCTAGCTATCATGATTCCCTATCATATAAAGTAGAGACCACATCATTTTGTCTCCTACCTTGCTCCTTTCAAACAAATAATCTTTTGCCTAACTCTATAAAGTGGGTCCAACATTATTTTACTTCTCATAAACAACTAAAATAAAGTCAAATCTGAAGCAAAAGTAAAGTAGAATTTACACACACCATCTATTTGCACTCCTCTTCATTTACACTAGTGCAAATTAAATTCTCACTGTAAACAAGCTGAGCCCAAGGCTGTAGTGAAAATCTGAACTAGACACAAATTTTGCAAGTGGTCCACTTTTGCATCCCTTTATTTGTAATAATGATTTTCATTCCTACCTGATACAACCCTTCTGTTTTTTTTTTTTTTTCTTTTGTCTCGATTGCATTCATAGATGGTGCAAATTTTGCTCCATTTTCCTCCTACTTCAATTCTCTCTCATATAAAGTGAGAACTATGTCATCTTGCTTCCTAACTCACTCCCAAATAAACAATCTATCTCTTACTTCCGTTCTCTTTCACATAGGTAGAGTCCACATAATTTTACTTCTTACAAAGAAATAAACAGAGTCAAATGTGAAGCAAAAGCAAACGAGAGTTTACACTCGAAGTATTTGCAATCCCATGCATTTATACCAGTACAAGTGAAACTAATTTGCAGTACAAACAAACTGAGCCTAAAAGGCAAACAAAAATTCTAAGTAAAGGCTTAGAATCTTAGATAACGGACAGTTATTTTGTCCAAACGCACCTTACTGCGGCACTGAAACCATACGTAATCATAAATGTGATAGCTTCTGTACTCACGCTAGCTGCAAATATTAAATGGGTTAGACAGTCCCCGAAGTAATTCACACCCAAACTTCTAGTTTACTCAAATTCGTGATAGTTAGAATTTTAAAATGTGGGAAGGGATTAATTATCGTATGGTAGCTTGAAGTCCATGCAAATCCAACTACACTTGTGCAGTTTGGTTTCCCAAGTGGAAACCAATTCTTAGGGTCCGTTCGATTTGCAGTTTGAATGGGAATCAAAATGTCAAAATCTGATTTGAAATGGTCTATTTCCATTGTTTGTTTGTTCAGACAGTGGCATTAGCAATTGTAGTCCGTCTTGGTGGTGAAGTCTTTGAAAAATCAGTAGCATCATAGGTCATGTGGTCAGTAGCTCCTGAGTCAAGTACCCATGCCTTGTTATCAATGGTCTTGTTGGGAAGATTGTTACCTGAATCCGAGATGTGAACTTCTCCCTGTGGTGTAAAGGAGAGTTGAGATTT